CCCCAAAACCCCAAAACCCCAAAACCCCTTGTCTAAAGAATTTTGTGTATTTTAATAGAAATATTTGAAATTAAGTTTTAATACAACTTTACCAACAATCAGTATTTATAACTTTTCCCTTCATTCAATAGCTTTCTGGTCTCTTCAAATCTTGAAGCAACTTACTTGATGTAATCCTCCGTCTCATTAGAATTATATGATAGACTGTTATTGTTTAGATTTTAATTTACCACATTACTATTGCTTAGAATATTCTGAGATATTTGGAAAGGGAATGCTTATAACTATTATTGATCAATTCTTGTATTAATAGTATTATTTTAGATCTCTAACATCTAGCTTAAGTTAGCTTTTTCCTGGGTTTAATGATTGTTAAAGTCAAATGCTATCATGTTATTATTATTATTTAGCGCAAAGTCTCTTCCCATAGTATTCTTCTCAATAATTTATAATCTATTCTTAATCAGTATTTGTTCAGCCTGCAACTTATTCACTTTGTCCTCAATAGAAGTCTAGAACGACTCAAACCTAGATCCCAGAGTCTTGATACTTTCATTAACATTAACTATTAGTTTCATTAAGTCCTTTGTCAGCTCACTTTACTTATCCTAGGTTTGATTCTACATATTCATGTCAAATGTTTATTAAGTTTAGAAAATAGGTGATACTTAGAATGGTTGTTGCTATTATTAAGGATAACTAATTTACTACTAATGCATGGAATTTTTAACATGGTACATATTCTGGTCTTATTGATGATTTTAATTTTAGATAGTTTGATTCTCATGAAGTGAAGCTTTTCGCTAAGCGAATGACTTTGGAAGTTTCTTCTATTTAGCTGAGATATAATTTTACTAAACGCTTTGATTGGGGCTTTGATTGCTCATTGGACTTGGAATTGAGAAATCACTATTTTCTTTTTCATCATCTGCAAATGGATGTAAGCTTTGAATAATTCCATTGCCATATTGATTTTAAACCATCGAAGGAGGTGGTTCATGCTTGATTACCATTACATTTTATTATCCAATGAATTAGGAGTCAGGTAATTGTAATGCCTCCTAAGTTTTCTATTATTTTTTAGGCTTAATAACAGGCTTGTTTTAACTGATTTAGTTCATTTTACTCAAGACTTGATGTTTTTATTTCATAAAATCTATTACCTCACATGCAAATATAACCTTTCTCTCTGAAAATCCGTTCTAAAAAAACTGTTGAATTGTAATAGCTGGTTTATAGTTGAACTAATTAAGAAGTAATTTGTAGACAGATTCCATAAATCTCATGTCATTTTTTGCATATAATTCAAAGCCCTTCTCAGTTATAAATTATCCTACTAGTGGAGAATACACAAGTAAACAGTGGTGCATGATTGGGAGATAAGCAATTGGCAATCCAAGTTGAATTTCCTCATCGTTTAACTGATTAGGATATTTTATGGATTTCAATTCAGATTTCAGTTTGCTAATATTATTCTATAAATCTCCAAGAGCGGCCATTCAAATTTAAATTTAAATATATTAGTTATAATTAATCATAACTCATCAGTATTTTAAGGTTTTAAAGTAAATTCAGCTAATTTATATTGCTGACCCTTCTCATTCTCATCTACTGTGAAATTTGGCTAATAATCAAAACTCTTTCTTTTTCTAATCTCAATATTTACACTAATATTTCTGTTAAGATCTATATCCAAAAGCTCTTCTGACCTGAGATTATCTAATTCAATGCTTCTATCCTTGATGTTGGTCTGAGTTCCAGCTTTTCCCTTTTTATACATTACCAAGCCGTGATTAAAATCTAGTTTTTAAGAACTGTTTTAGTTTAATCCCATAATCTTAATGTCCCCATTTGAACTAATCTAAGATGAGTTTCCATTTTAATTGAACATATTTGTGCCTCTCTAAGTACTGAATGCCAATTTACTCAAGTCTGACATTCTCTTCTAACTATGACGAAACTGCATGTTAAAACTGCTATTTGTATGAGGCTCAAAAGATAACTGTCTATTATGGAAAATCTGTTAGTTAGTCAGTTACTGATTGGTATTTTTAGATCTAAGCAGTCTCTAAAGTTAAAGCTACTTCTTTTACCTTTGCTCAATTAGCATCTTTTGGAATTTGGTCCTGCTATAGTCAGATTCATTTGGATATTCTGATGTATTAGTATCATACTTTTTCCTAGTAGACGGACTATTTCTACTTTCAGAGACCAATGAGGTATTGCCTGTTTATTCATGAAGTTTTTTTTGTATTTAACTATAATCTAACTTTTCCAAAAGGCCTCTAAGATTTGGGAATCTTTGAGCAGTTCGTTACATTCTCTGATCATAATTTGACATACTTGAGTGATTTCTTGCCTAGAGTAGGGATTAGATTTTAAATATCTTATCTTAGTCTGTTTAATCCGATATTTACTTTTAAAAATCAACTCTGATTTCTGGGTAAAAGTAATTAGAGATACTGTCATAGCCAGAGTCATTGTTATTATTCAAGATTGGATTTAATTTTGAATAAGACGAGAGAGCTCTTTCAAACGGAGACTTTTAACCACTTTATTCAATAATTGATTAGTTATTTGCCTATCTACTCTAAACTCTCTCAAAGTTATCCTTTCCATCAATGCGAAGAGATGTTTAAATAATTGGAGATTTGTCATTCTTGTGAGTCTGTATAATAGGCTATAACTTTTATGTTATTGGCTCTAACATATCATCAGATCTTGAGTCGTAGCTTTATTGCATTCTAGATGCAACCATGTTTCTTGAATATTGGTCCTCATCATTTGGATCATTAGATGCTCTTTTTTGATAAAATAGTCTTAATGTATTTCCAAGGTTTTTCATTCCATCTACCCCCTCTGTGTTTTATATATCATCTGATACGCTCTCAATTTTTGTCAGATTTCCTTGCAGGTCATTTCTGTTCTAGACCTTCTTTACGTTATTTATGGAAAGCTGCAATCTTCCCTTATATATTATCTTCTAATTGTTCTGTTCACCTGCAGAAGAAGGCTAGAGCAGCTAAGTTTTATAAGACTATTCATGTTGTGTGATGCCCATATCAGTTTCGGTTATCAAATTTCTATTACTTTGATTCAAGAGATTTTACTTAGTTTGTCTTTAAGTCTGTGAAACATGCACCTGTCTTGGAAGACTAAAGGCAGCATCCTTTCCAAGAATCTCAAGATTTATAATTGATTGCCTTTTATCTTAAAGCAAGTGCTTTAAATTGTTTCTAGATTGCAGATTCCTAATTTGATAGAAAGTCATCATTGACTTTTACCTTCTCTTATACTTATTGTCTTTCCTATCACTTAGCAAATCTGAGTTAGTCCAATAGTTCTCTCCTTCAGGTTTTTATCTGTATTTGGTTTTATTTAGTTCTGTTTAATACTCTAGCATTTGCTAGAGCCTATTAATATATGCTTAGTGAGATTCATTTTCAAGTCGTTTTCTATTTTATTATTCACTGACGACCTATACAACATCTAATACATTTGGTTTTTCTCTAAAACTTCTATTCACGCTTTGTTGTTAAAAAACAAATGATTCGGGATTGACAATTTACTTTTCCATCTTTTTCCAAAGCCTTTAAGATACCTAGAATGAATCTTCTTACAACTTTTTCCTTACTTCTTTATCCAGATCAAATTTAGGTAAGGGTACCTAGGATTTTAATATTTAACTTAAATCTCTTCCGGTTTTAGATTCAGTCGAATTTAGTTACTTAGAGAACTGGCTTTCTTGGAAATTTCTTGAGTTATTTAAGAAAAAACTCTCTTATTCCTTAAGTTCTCTTTCCAATAATATTTTCTTAGCATCTAGTCCATACATAGATCTGTATATATTATTACTATTTTAGGCAGGTGCAGCTATTTTTTTTTCTCTTTAAGATTTTTCCCCTGGCTAATAATGATGGTTGACTTTCTCAATGAAATCTTTAAAATTTAGATTTTTCGGCTGCTCTTTATTGCTCTTTTACCTTCTGCTATTCATGCTAAGTCTAAATGAATCAAATGTCTTATCAAAGATGGAAGCAGACTTGTTGTTGTGATTTGACATAGATTAATAGTCATCATGCATTGAATGACTCTGTGAACTACTTATCATTTAATAATCTTAATTATAGTATAAAATTAATAAAAAATTAAAGTGATAAAATAATTAATAGATAAGAAGATAAAATTATTCAAAGCATTTAGACCAAGGTCAATAGCTCATCTTTACAGTTGCCATGCCTTTTGTGGATGTAGGTTTAATGTTCTGTTTCTTTAGTTAGAGCAAAGTTTTCTACAGCTTTTGCTTTCCAGTTTCATCTTTCTTTTTGTCCTTTAGTTACACATCTCTAGCATCTGGCCTCACAACAAAATCAAATGCATTCCTTTCTGGCAGCATGATACCCATTCTTCCTCTAGTGATTTCTTTTTTCTCTTCATCTTCAGCATGCTTCTTTTTCTTTAAAGCCTGTTCAGTTGATTTATCCTAGATATCATTTTAGGCGGGCTCATCTTCAGAATCATGTTCAGGCTATAGATTACTTATCACTTTTTGTTTTCTCTTGATCATTTTGGCTTGATAATTTCTGTAGGTCTTATCAAAGTTTCCCTCAGCGTCATACTCTTGATTTATCTGATAGAGTTACCTCGACCATTTGTCTATGATATGCTTGGCTAGTCTTTGCAATTCTGCTTGCTTAGACGCGCCCTGCTCATACAGCTAGACTTTCTGAGCGAGGCCACTCTCTTCAAGCTAGTTAGTATAGATTTTGAGGGTTGATATACAGTTCAAGAGCCCATTTACCAAATTGAAGTTAGGGAATGTGCCATCTGGAAGCATATCTAGCCAGCATCCCAGCACATGACAACCACCTTATTCTAAGAAATTCTCCTGAATATTGATCTTTCTGAGTTACTCATAGACTTCCTTAGCCATCATAAGTTTTTGTAGGCCTGGCTTACCCTATCTATAGCATTCTCTATCAAGTTCATAAGCTCTCTACATCTTTTCTAATAGTGCTCTAGCAATATCAGATTGAATTTTATCTTCGTTCAAGTCATCTCCATCTTAGGCTTGACTGTCAGCGGTCTTTTTCTTTAATTTTTGGTAAGTTTGTTTCTAAATTTCATTAAATGAGCTCAGCTTTTGAGTTTCCTCTTACTCCTATGCTTGCTTTTCCATATGCTTAATCATTCGCTTTTTCAAAGTTTTTTCTTTATGCTCCATGCCCTTTCTCTTGTTTCTGTTATTTTTGCCGCCTTGACCATCAGCGTCTAATTCATAGTCATCACTGTAAGCAAAAGGCTCAGAAGCTGGATCATCTTCTTAGTAGCAAGGGTTTGTTCTGAAGGCTAGATCTTGTTCTTCTAGTTACTGTAATCTCTAGATTTAAGCTTCTAATACACTGATATCATCTTCATTATCAAGGAGGCTATCTTCTTCACGGTCCTTGCGTTTTTTACTTTTTTTATCCTTCTTGTTCCTTTTATGCTTTTTATCCTTCTTAGACTTTGACTTTTTGGCTTCATTCTCTCCACTTCTTTGATTCTGAATAGCGAGGCCTTAATCTAGTAACATTTGTTAAGTTTATTGTACTATTTACCGTTGAGACCTGAAATATTTTATGCGATTTGATGGCGACCCTCGTTTTCAGCTGAAAACTGGGCTGTTTAGTTCAAGTAGTCACTCATGAGCTTTCTAAAAAATTGATTATAATTTTTAGAAGCTGAGAGTATATAACTAGAACTCCTCCAATATATACATTTCTATTATTTATATTCAAACTAATTATCATTCTAAGATACTATTTCTATTTTCCAATTTCATTATCAATGCAATGGCCTAAAAATTTTGCACATTGGGGTTTTGGGGTTTTGGGGTTTTGGGG